TCTTGTCTACTAGTCCTGCCTATCTTGCCTTCCTATTTGCCAACAGAGATTTATTCATTAACCAATAAGAGAAACATATTAACAGAATGACATCTCCCATCAGTCCACTCTATTTGGTGTTTTGTAAGCTTCTTGTACTTTCATTGGCATGTCTTTCTTTAGGTTGGGAAAGTTTTCTCTATGATTTTGTTGAATATGGTTTTCTGCACCTTTGAGTTGGGTTTCTTCACCTTCTACCTATTATTCTTAGGTTTGGCCTTTTCACGGTGTCTGATTATTTCCTGGATATTTTGTGTTAGGGATTCATTGTACTTAAGATTTTCTTTGGATAATGAATATATTTCTCCTAATGTATCTTCAATGCCTGAAAATCTCTCTTCCATCTCTTGTATCTGTTGGTTATGCTTGCATTTGTAGTTCCAGATTGTTTACCCAGCTTTTCTATTTCCATGAAAATGTATGCTTTTCCCCAGATGCCTGGACTGTAAAGTAGAGATTGTAATGGATACCTCACATAATTAAGTGATTAATGAATAGATCTTTGAGCTAATGATTTAAAAAATGAGACTTAAAGCCATATGTTACAGAAAGTCTATCAAGAAAAGATACTAGCCCTCCTTCCAAATGTTTCCCCCTCATTTCATTCATGCTATAAATGGAGGATGGAGGAGGAGGGCTTTATTAGAAATATAACCACACCAGGAAGGACCAAGTTTATGACCAAGTAAATGACCAAAATCCATCTTCAAAGTATTAAACAGCAGACTCAGCATAATCTAGAAAAGAGAAACAAGGGCAAGGACATTGTGGTTATACATAGCAATACAGGCTCTCTTGATCTGGCTGTGGTCTACCCTATCATTAGCTTGGCCCATTGTCTGAGGATCAGCCTTGCAGAGATATGTTGGTTCCAGGAAGGTCTCTGTTGCTTAAGAAGTAAGTTATGACCTTTGATTTTGTTCAGCAATTGGGTGTGTAGTTCCTGGGAGCAAAGGTAACTGTCAGAGAGAACGGCTCAGGGGAATTCAGAACTCTAAAGGAAAGCAATAAGGTAAAGTCTAAAGTGGAATTTTATAGATCAGTACTTGGACCCTATTTCAAATCCCCATCATCAAGCCATAATTCTATTTTTTATAAAGCACTTACTGATTTACAGTCATGTCAGAGCACACATGGGACAACCCAAGGGAATGGTCCTTCTCTTCCACCTGTGGGTCCCACAACAGGTACTCTTACCCACTAAGCCATCTTATCAGACCCCATTCCATTACTATTAGAGTGATCTGGAATGTAAGACCTAGCTATAACTCCCTCTTTTTCTTGTCCATTCTTCAGTCTTGAAAGATTTGGAACACAGTGTCATTGACTTGACTGTCTATTGCTGGACTGGTACAAAGATCATATCTATGGCACCTGAAGCATGTATGTCAAGAAAAACCAGATGCTTATGCATGTAACCCCAGCACTTGAAGAGCTAAGGAAGGAGGACCAATAGTCGAAGAACACCCTGGCTATATAATCTGTTCAAAGTCAACTTAGACCTAGTGAGACCCTGCCTAGGGTAGGGCTTCCTTTTTCTCCTCTCAGTAACTGCTTTCAGATACCTATGATCTGTGCTAGGTACTACAAATGCTGAAGGAAGCCAAGAGACATTAAAAAAACAAAACAAAAATAACCCTATGGTTTCCTGAAGAAAACAGGCAGCTTACAAATTTATACTGAATTACAAAGGAAAATTTAATGAAGGTCTAACTCAGATTAAATGAATTGTACACAAATCAATTATCATAATGACTGTCACATTGTAAACACCTTGCCCAGGAAAGACCTTACCAAGAAATGGGAAGCTACACTGACACCAAAGGAATGCGAGGGGTTAGCTATGGGAGAAGCTGGGTCAAAGTGTGGCAAGCAGAGAACCAATACTCTTGAAAACACCAAGACAGACAGACCATGGGATATTCAAAAGAGACCTGGAAAGCCAAGACATATACCAATTAATGTCACCACCTACCAGACTACCCCAGAAAGAAAGAAAATGACTGAGAATATACATCTCTAAATACTGAACCAAAATACCAATGATGCAAATAAATTGCGGTGACCTAAAAATGAGCATACACTTCCTCCTTCCAACAACCTCTTCAACTGTCACCTTCTCCCATCACTCAAGGGAAGATTTGCCTTTCCCTGACCCAAAATCTCACTTCGGTGCCTTCCCCATGCTTAACAATTCAAGGGTTCGTCCTTCCTGAGGGAAGTCCGGTGAGAACACATCCAAAGGAAGTACAGAAAGAAACAGTAAAGGGGCTGTAATGGCTATTTAGCTTAGCCTCTCATCTGAAAGAATGCCTTGGTTGCCGCACAGACAGACAAGATACATGAAGGCCTTGTGCTACAAGTATTAGTGAGGAGGAAAAGTACAGGCACACAGACACACACACACACACACACACACACACACACACACACACATCTCATGTATCTCGGGGTGGACTCAAACCCAACAGATGCCTGAGAATTGTAGCGAGATATTCACCTTGTCCACACCTGTGGCATAGACCACGCCCATTGGGGTGGAGACAGGGCCGGACTTGACCTGGGGGAACTAAGGCTGAGGAGGGGGCTCTGGGAGCTCTCTTGCTTGCAGCACCAGGACAGGAGTACATCCGGAGGCATCCTTGGGACCAGAAACCTGCTGGTGTTCATCTGTCTATGTTGTGAGTTATTTCTCCCTGAATAAACATCTATTCGGCCTATTTGTTTCTCCTGATCCTTATTAAACATCAATAGAGAATAACGTTAAACTCCTAACTCTACATTCTGATTGCTGGGATTGCAGGTCATCCAGGCTGAAAACCTAAGTTATGGTTGTGCCATGAGTAGCAATTTCTATCTGCTCCTCAAATCATTGTTTACATTCTGTTTCTCTGATTTGCTCATTCTCGGTGTTATTTCTATTTCCCAGGTTGACCTCAAATTCCAGAAACAGTGAACCCTGAAGGCTTTCATCCTATGATGGGAACTGGAACTAACCTGCAAGAGAGAATGATTTTGACAGGTGAAACTAAGACAAGAATCTGCCAGACCAGAGCCTAAGGAATGCTACAAATTTCTGGGAGAACTTGCATACCTTTCCCCACTACAATATGGTTTTTACCCTATACAATCTTGCAGCTATTTCAAGTACCTTGAAGGTAGTTCTCAGGATGTCACTAAACTACTGTCCTTCTCACCTTGAAAACTTGAAAATTCCTTAATCCCTTTTATCTCTCTCGCTCTCTCTCTCACCCTCTCTCTCTCACCCTCTCTCTCACCCTCTCTCTCTCACCCTCTCTCTCTCTCTCTCTCTCTCTCTCTTTTGTAGTTATGATAAGTAATCAACTCGACTCTAGTCCTTTAGGAGCCTTCAAGTCAGGCATCTCTGGCTCTAGCTCCAAAAAAAGTGAAAACTTTCAAACAAAAATGAGTTTTATCTTAGGTATTTGAAGGCATGTAACTACCCAACAGGGTAGAGAAAAAATATTTTATATGGGTGTTTTGTCTGTGCACCACATGCATGCCTTGAGACCAAAGGGGGGCATCAGATCCCCTGGAACTGGAATTACAAATAGATGTGAGCTGTCATATGGGTGCTCAGAATCAAATCTGTGTCCCCTGAAAGAACAGTCACTGCTTTGAACCCATCTCTGAACCAGGTCTCCAGCTCTATGCAGAGTTTTGTTCTTTTGTTTGTTTGGTTTGGGGGTTTGTTTGTTTGTTTGTTTGTTTGTTTGTTTGTTTGTTTTGAGATAGGGTCTTACTAGGTAGCCTTGGCTGAGCTGAACTCGATCTGTAGACCAGGTTGACCTAGAACTCACAGAGATAGATCCTCCTGCTTCTGCCTCCCGAGTGTGATATTAAAAGCATGTGCCATTATCCAAATGTTAGAATATCCCCAACCAGATAAAATTTTTGTTTACATAAAAACTGCAGCCTTCTCTGAGCTTAAACGACTTAAGTCTTAAGTAACCAACCCTTCCATTTTCTTCGTGATTATTATTTTAAAACTAACAAATCATGATAGACTCCAGGCAACGGTGGGGGGTGGATGGGTCTTGCCACCTGTCCCTGTGTGCTTGCTAACCCTGGTTGGGTGTTGATGCACTCTTCGGGGGGGGGGGGAGTCTTGCTAAACTGCTCCCCTTATTTCTGTGTTCCTTTGTGAGATTATTGTTTGTCTAGCAATCCCCAGCACAGAAATGAACAACAAATCAGTGGATCATTACATATTCTTTAAATTAAGAGGTTCCCATCGGACAGTTCAGGCTAACTCTATCAAACTAGTTCAGTAGCACTTTCTTTGAAAGAGATGGATATTGGTAAAGTAAAAGTTGATACACATTATTTTCAGTACACAGACGTTCAGGGATGGATAGAAGCATAGCATACATACACACACGTGGGGGGGGGGTAACTGAAAAGTGTATATATTAAATAGAAGGGACTGGCTTTTTGTTTGTTTGAGACAGGTTCTCTGTGTATCCCTGGCTATTCTAGAACTCGCTCTGTAGACCAGACTGTCCTCCAACTCAGAGACCGACCTGCTCTCTGCTTTCTGGGTGCTGGGATTAAAGCTGTGCGCCACCACCGCCTGGCCGACAGATAATTTTAAATGGGCAAGTGCTGTGCACCCAGAAGGCCATGTATCAACACCGTCAACCTGTTCCGCTCTTGTGCGCCACAGGTGCTGAGTCTTTCGAAGGGTGAAGAGCTAACTGCCTGGGGGGGACAAGGGACTGAAGATGTCAACTGACTCTCCCTGCGCGTGTGCAGGGGTCAGTGCCTGCAGTTACCGCTACTGTGGAGCCGGGCGCAAAGTGTCCCGGAACCAAAAGCCGGCGGGTGAGGAGTTGGTCCACCCGGGTTAGGGGAGGCGCCAGCATCCCTAGCGGCACACGGCTCCGCCCTCCACCCGCCTCTACAATTAATAGTCCCGAGCCAGCGTGTCCGATTGTGTGGTAATGCGGCGCTTTCTGGACGAGAAGAGAAAGCAGCGTCCCGTCCTTGGCCTGAGCGATGCTGAGAAGCTGCGTTGCGCGCCTGCGCGTTCTTGGGGCTCCGCCTGCGAGGCGGCCCGGACCAGTGTGGGTGAGTCTCCGGACGCGGTGGTGGTGCGAGCAGGGAGACAGCCAGAATGAAGCTAAGCAAACACCGACCCTCGGTTGTAACGGGGAGCAGGGGCTCTTCAGCCTTGAGATTCGAATCGGGAGGAACCTGGAGGGAACGTAACTTAAGGCTGAAATAGGTCAGCAAGGATTGGACCGCCACTACAAGGTCACCCAGAAAACCCGTGAATGAACCAGCACTTATCCTTTCCAGGGATCTAATGTTTTCTAATTCGTTATAACCAACTTGGGAAGGGGCTTCTTACTGTGAGATAATCAATTATGCCCTCTCTCGCCCATTTTCATCATCTTAGAGGATAAGATTAAATAAGATAACGCAAGGGAAGCGTTTAGCATTCCTGGAATGTAAGTATTAAATAATTCCCTGCCCGTATTTACATCCCTACTTTGTTTCATTGATGTAGTCAGTACTTGTTGAGCTCCAACAATATTCCAGGCATCATTGTCCATTGATGGTAAGTAAGACGTATTACTGTTAGAAAAAGAAAAAGAATAAAACTTTCCTCCAAAGGAGTGTATGCTCTAGTTTGGGAAAATGGGGTAGTTTGCCAAATGCAAACGCCTGTATCCTTTGTGTTATAATAATGACTAAGAAACAACAGGGAATAACTCTGTTTTGAGCAAGAACCAAAGGAGAACTTTGGTTATTTGGTGACTGTGGCATCTCTCTCAAGCTATTGCAGCTTCCAGCTGGACAGAGAGGTATAGAGAATGTAGATTGATTATTAATCAGGTATCATTTAGCTCACTAAAAAAGAAAGTGCATTGTGTTAATCTTACAACCACAAATACGGATTCGTTTTTTTAATTACATGTTGGTGCCTGACAGTCTGTGCTGAATACAACTAAGCATTAGTATTCACAGGCTTTCCTCTCTTTAAGGAGGCATGAAAGTCATAACTTTACTTACAACTCCAGCTCTCATAAATGTATAACTAAAGATCAAGCATGACCTTTCCTTTACTGAGAACAAAGGGTAATGATTACCCTAGGAGTCATCCTTCATTCACTACTGTGTTATGAATTTACAAGTACACTTAAAGCAAGTAGCTCTTCGTTCTCACCTCTTTGAACTGAAAAATGAGTTGTTTTTATTTCCCATAACATTGTCCATCTAATGTAACTCAACATGCCTCAAATTAAAATTAGTAGTTCCACTCCAGTTCTCTCTGACCCACACTTTCACACAAACAGACATCTTTTATTTCTAACCATGTCATCAAAGCCACAACTCTAGAATCATCAAAGACTCCTGGGTTTTCTCTTTCCAGAAGTTAGTAACTCCCCATTTCCCTGGGTTCTAGCACTGAATGTCACTTGGTTCGGCCTTGAACCATATCTAACTTAGACCTTTTAACAATCTTTGGCCACCTTCCCTTTTTTCTCACCATTTTAACTCACTTGATGAAACTCTGAAAACCACTGTTACTTTGCTGAAAGCTCTCTGTGGAAAAAGGCATTTCAACTCTCAAGTATCACTTTCATGATTTTTTTTATATGACTGCTTTTTATTTAAAAATAAGAAAAATAGTTTAAAAATCGTTGTGTGTTGCTTCATGTATGTCTGTATACCATGTATGACAGTCCCTACAGAGGCCAGAAGAAGTTGTTGGATCTCCTGGGAATGGAGTTACAGACAGTTGTGAGGCCATGTGGGTGCTGGAAGTTGAACCTGCATCCTGTGGAAGAAGAGCCAGTGTTCTTAAACTCTGAGTTATGATTGCCTCTTTAAGTAGCTTCATCCTAAGTAAAGACATTTGTGATATAACAAGTGTGATATGCTATTCATGGCTTTCAAATTCCATAAGTATATAATGTAAAGGATGTTTATTATTACTATAATTATAAATTATGTTATTTATAATATTAAACATACATCTATCTTTGTTCTTGTGCTATCAGAATCACCTTTCACACTGTTTTTAAGCAGCTGATTGACCTAGAAGGTTAAACTTGAGACCTGTGGTATGATCCCTTTTCTGTTTTGTCAACCATATCTTGCTGTGCCTCTTTCCTCTGCACTTTCTATCCTTGAAGCCTGAGGTCCTAGCAATTCTCCAGTGTGCCGTGTGGTCACTTTATCCTCTGTGCCTTTGCTGAGTGTAACCCTAGTTCTCATTTTCATGAACTTTAGCTGCAAGAAATCCCTCTGGGGTTTTTTGTTGGTGTGTGTTTGTTGTTTTTAAGTGTTCCCTGAAAGCACTTGTATCTCTATGTCTGTAGTAATACTTCCCATATCTGAGGCTACTAACACTTAAAGGCAGGGCCTAGGTCTTTTTTTTTTTTTTTTTTTTTTCTTTCTTTCTTTCTTTCCTGTCCCTGATATAAAAACAAAGCACATAATAGAACTTAAGAAAATTTATTGGATTTTATTTCAAAGTTAAAAACAGACTGGGTATGATAGAACACACCTTTAATTCCAATACTCAGGAAGCAGAAGTAAGTGGAACTCTGTGATTTCCTTTCCAGCTTGGTTTACATAGTGAGTTCCAGAACAGATATATAGTGAGATACTGTCTCCAAAAATAAAAAATAAAAATAAAAAAAAAAAAGTTTAAACTAGGTAGGAGAACCCAGGGAGTCATTCTGATTACTAAGTCTTCAATTAACTATGTTTCATTAGCCCATAAAAGGATGTTACAAGCTGGGATTTCCTATTTAAGAGATCTGACTGGGGCCAAGACACTGTGAGGATACCATGACCAAGGCAACTCATAAAAGGAGGAGTGTATTTGGTGCTTACACCTTCAGAGAGTGAGTCCATGACCATCATGGTAGGGAGCATGGCAGCAGCCGGCAGGCATGGTGCTGCAGCAGTAACTGAGACCTTATATCCTTATCTACACGTGAGAGGCAAAGAGGCATAAGCTTTAAAAGTCTCAAGGTGCTCTCCCAGTGACACACCTCCCCCAATAAGACCATGCCTTCTAATCTCCCAAATATTTCCACCGACTGAGAACCAAACATTAAAATATATCAGCCTGTAGGGTCCATTCTCATTCAAACAACCATGCTGCTCTTCCAGAGGACCCAAGTTCTGTTCCCACCCAGCATCTCATGGGATGGCTCACAACTGCCTGCAACTCCAACTCCAGTTGATCCAGTTACCTCTTCTGGTATCCACAGCCACCCACACATACATTGCCTACACTCATACAGATACATACACAGAAATAATTGTGTGTGTGTGTGTGTGTGTCTAGATGGTGATAACTGGAGAGATGGTTCAGCGCTAAGAATGCTAGCGCTAATATGAGCATGAAGACTTCAGTATGGATCCCAACACCCATGTAACAAGCCGAGCATAACCTTTTGAATGTGTAACACTACACTAGCAGGTAAAGATAGGGAGATCCCAGAGCTTTCTGGCCACCAGCCTAGTTCCAGGTTCAGTGAAAGATCCTATCTCAGAGGTATATATCTACTCGGCCTATTTGTTTATCCTGATCCTTATTTACCGCAATAGGGGAGAGTAACAGAACAGGATGTGAGACATTCTCCACATGTGTGCCAAGCACACCCAAGCAGACATATTCACGTATACTGTACATACACAGAGAGAGAGGCTAAGACTAAAAGCATGGGAAAGTGAATATTAAATAATTTTAAATGACAGCACAGAAAAATTTCTTAGACTATGAGTATATTGAGGAAAATATTTGAAGAGCTTTAGGGAGGTACCAGAAGGCAGTACCAAGAGCTCCCACTCATACGTGAAAACTAAAACAGCTGATTTCATAGAAGCAGAGAGTGCTGGTTGCTAGAGACTAGAAAGGGGTGAGTCTAGTAAGGGGTGATACTGCATAGAAACAAGATATGTTCATCATGGGTAGCTTGGGTTTCTGGGTCAGCATAAAGACCCTCACCAAGAATTTTATCTTGGAGAGCTTTATAACCTTTCTTTAAGCCCTGAAGTTCAAGAGCTTTTGCTTTCTCTCTCCATAAAGACCTCCATTCTAATTGAGAGTTTTCAAGGACACCTGATATTAATTGATCCCAATCCTTAAGGGTTACCTTGTTATTCCTTGCCCATGATTCTACTAATTGCTTCACATATGGTGAGTGCATGCCATAAGAGACTACTGCTTCCTTTATACCTTTTAAATCTTTCATACGTATTGGTTCCCACTGATATGCAATGACACCTTTTGGGTGTTTTTTTGTTGCTGGTTTTTCATTAATAGATACAGGGAAAGCTCTCCTGACTCTAAATGGTGTGGAAAATTTTAAGTCTTTTTCATGCCCTGTTACCTGTAGTTCTTCTTCTGATGTATCAGACTGAAGGTCTTCTAAAGCCTGAAATCTATTCACCATTGTTTCTTTGAGTGTCTGAACTTCTTGAATCAAATAACTTTCTAGAGAGTCAGTTTCTTACTTTCTCCAACTACAGGGGGAGGAAGTAGAGAGGCTGAATAACCAGTCACATGGGGTATAAACATCATAGCACAGGTAGGTGGTAGTTATAGTTTGTTTGTTAAAAAAAAAAAAAAAAAAAACACAGGTTCAAATTGGTGTCCTACCACTGAGCTATATCCCCAAGCCCTAATACATACTTGTGTGTCTGTGTGTGACACATCCCATCACATGCTTACAGAGGCAAGGGTAGGCTATCAAGTACCCTCCTTTATCACTCTGCCTTATTTTTGCCTTAAGACAGAGTCTTTCATTGAGCTAGAAACTGGATATTTTTGCTAGGCTGGCTGGCCAACAAATGTACCTCTTTTCTCATCAATTGTTTTGAATGCTTATATGTATTTATATATACATACATAATTCCAGATATAACTGTCACATCCTTATAATGTTAATTGTATGTATATTTTCAGCACTGACTGTTTGGAACTGGACAATCAATTGGTGTGCTTTTCCCTGGGAGGACCACCTCTCCCTTCCATTCCCAGTCTTACTCAGTTGCCTGTGGTTCTTTGTGTATGGTTGAAGCATCTCACTGTGTAGTTTAGCATGTCCGTTGCTGCCATCCTTGTTCAGCTCACATTTGGACAGCCATGTTGGTGAGACTTTACTGCCACATACTAGGAAATATAACCTCATGGCAAAATCCTTGATCCTTTAGCTTTCACAATCTTTCCACCCCTTTAAAACTTGTTTCATTGAAAAAAAATAAAAAATAGGTGGCAACTTCAATGGGAATGAGCAGTATGAAAAGGGAAGACATAGCTGCTGAGTGAAGTTTACACTTTTAGAACAATGCAAGGTCTTTGCTGCCAGAAGCTTGCCAGAAAAATGTAAAATGAACTACCTTAGCAGTGTAAATCAGGAGGCAGGGCAGTGAATGAAAAGAACTTGGAGAAAATATATAAGTATTTTACTACACTTTTATTTAGAAGGAAAAATAATGGGTAGAGTTTTTCTGTCTTTCCCACATTATCTAATCTAGGTTCTAAAGGGATAAACTGATCAACGAGGCATAGAAAATAAAGTTACTTATTCTGAGCTACAGGCAAAATGTTATTTCTCTTCATTCCTCTAATACCACAAAGTCAGGGTTTCCCTTTTTTATCTCCATGGAAGGGTTTTTGTTGTTGTTTTGTTTTGTTTATTTGTGAATGGAAATGGGGTGGGGGTCAACTTTGTGAACAACTTTGTTAGTTCTCTCTTCCCACCATATAGGTTTCAGGGATCTATGTAGGTCACCAGGCTTGGTGCAGTGCCTTTACCCACTGAGTCATCTCACCAATCCAGTTTTTAATTTCATAAAGTGCTAGAGGCAGGCTCCCTCTATTCTTCCTATTGAACCAGGATTGGAGCCAATGCAGACATCAGCAGAAGCTGATTCTTCCATCAGTGAGTACAGCATGGTACTTTGATGTTAGTGGTGCAATCCACGTGATACACACCTTAATGAGATCACACTCTGTCTTCCTACTCCTCCAACACTTCAGTTGTTGACAGGAATGGTGGCAATGCTCAGTGCTCCAGAGAAGTATTGTGAGTGAAAGTCATAGTTACCATGACACCAGCCTCTCTTCTCTCAACCTCCCCTTGTCCCTCTTATATTCTTTCTTATAATTAACTGTCATTTACTCCATGGTGCCATTCATACACCAGGGATTAGTTGTAGTATTTATCCTATTCCTTCATTTGCCTTGTGGAAGTAGTCTCTGTGTTCTGCTTTATGATCTCATAATTCTCACTGAGTTACCCAATAGCCTCCAAGTAGAAGCCTCCATTTGCAATCCTGAACATTACCATTCTCTTTGCTATTATGGCCAAACCTGAGTATGTCGCTCCCTGCTTAAATAATCTGAGAGTGCTACAGATATAATTCAAACCAACTAGCTTAGCATTGAGGCTTTGCCTATAAGTCTATATCTTTCTGCTCCTTCTGTTACACTGTGATATTGCCTAGCTTCTTTTAGATCTTAATTTCATCATCTATAAAATGGGATAATAGTTCCTATTGCATAGGGTATACTAAAGCCCTTCAAAACTGTCTCGTGCCTCCTTATGTTTGCACACATTGATTTTGTTGTTGTTATTTGTTTCTTTTTGGTTTTACATACACTAGTGTTTCCAAATGGCTAGTTTCTACTTATCAATGTGCAGGTCAAAGAGTCAAATACTACCATTCCCTTGTGTTCCAGCTTCCTGTGTATAGTAGTTAGGTTCTCTATTGCTGTGAGGAGACCATAACCATGGTAACTCTTATAAAGGAAAAAATTTAATTGGGATGGCTTACTTACAGTTCAAAGGTTCATTCCTATATCATCATAATGGGGTGCATGACAATGTGTAGGCAGACATGGTGCTGGCAAAGTTGCTGAGAGTCCTACATTTTGCAGGTGACAGGAAATGGACTGAGGCACTGGGTGGTATCCTGAGCACAGGAAACCTTAAAGCCCACCTCCACAGTGACACACTTCCTCTAATAAAGGCATACCCACTCCAACAAAGTCACACCTCCTAATAGTGCCACTCCCTATGAGATAATGGGGGCCAATTAACAGTCAAACTACCACACCATGTGCATCTCACCCATCCATCTCTCTATGTCTGGTGACTGACTCACCTGGTTTAATGCTATCTCTGCCAGTAGCTATCAGGGAGAAGATGAACAAATCATTGACCTTTTGTCATCCTTTCATTTCCATGAAGGTGTATAGGACAAATGAGCTCTGAAGTTCCTGGCCATTTTAAAGTGATCATCTTCTAGCAGTAAGAAAAGCAGTAACGGTAGTCTTGGGAAGTTGTAGAAAATAAATAGTATATACCTCCTATTCCTCTTTTTCTTTCTTGTCTGTCTTTTAGAGGTTGTTTTCTTCTGAAAAAGTCATTCGCAAGGACTATGGTCTCCCGAACCCCAGCTGGAGCAAGGACCTAAGACTCCTCTTTGACCAGTTCATGAAGAAATGTGAAGACGGCTCCTGGAAACGTTTGCCTTCATACAGACAAAATCCTACTCAAATCCTTAAAGACTTCCAAACCCGCTTTGTTGGTAAGGACAGCCACTTTCCCATAAATAATATATGAACATCAATGTAAAGTGTAACAGGCTGAAGTACTAAGTATTACTTAAAGAGAAGGAAGATCCAGTCATGGTAGTTCTTCCATATGTATAGTCTCTCTCAGTAGGCTGAGGCAGGAATGTTATGAGCTCAAAGCCAGCTGGGACCACATAGCAAGTTCATGAACATCATGGGCTACACAGTAGACCCTTTTTCAGAGTGGGGAGGAAGGGGAAAAGGAGTGGGTAGGAAGCAGAGCAAGTAGGGATTGAAAGAGAGAGGAAAGAAAGGAAGGAGATTAGGAAGAGGGGGAAGAGAGAGAAAAAACAGTACTGGGGTTCTATAGTCCCCAGTTTTATAAGCCAGAAATCTCACTAAATTTTGTGGATTGCAGGAGAACATAAAACATCAAAAATAAGATGATTCCCAACCTGGCAGCTTGAAGCTGATATCACCAATCTCGTTCCTCTTTCTGAAAATCTGGCTCCTTCCCTTTGAGAAGACCAGAACATTTCAATTAACCTCTGTAATTATTGAATTAGCCTCTGTTACTATTGCTATGATGGAACACCATGACCAAAAGCAAATTGGGGAGGAAAAGGTTAATTTGCCTTACACTTCCACATTGTAGTCCATCACTGAAAGAAGTCAGGACAGGAACACAAGTGGGGCTGGAACAGAGGCCATGGAGGGATGCTGCTTACTGGTTTACTCCCCATGGCTTGCTCAGCCTGCTTTCCTATAGAACTAGGACCACCAACCCAGGGGTGGCACCATCCACGATGGGCTGGGCCTTCCCCATCAATCATCAATTAAGAAAATGCCTTACAGCCAGCTCTTATAGAGACATTTCCTCAATTGAGGCTACCTCTCTGATGACTCTCGCTTATGTCAAGTTGACATCATAGCTTGCATCAAGTTAACATAAAACTAGCCAGTGCACCCTCTAATCTCTCACATTTTAAACCCAAAGACAATCTACTTCATGCGGTTGCCAGAAGTTTCTGTCCTGCCCCATCCTGTAGCCCTTCAGTCTGAAATAAACACACAGGGGCTTATATTAATTATAAATGTTTAGCTGATGGTTCAGGCTTCTTATTGGCTAGCTCTCTTATTAACCCACTTCTATAAATCTGTGTATCTCTACATGGTCTTGGTTTACCGGTGAATCACATGTCTCTTGCTTCCTCTGCAGCTACATGGCATCTGGCTGTCGACTTCTCTCTGCACTTCCTCTTCCCAATATTCTCCTAGTTCGATAGCCCCACCTATACTTCCTGTCTGGCTACTGGCCAATCAATGTTTTATTAAGCCAATATATGTGACAAATCTTTACAGTGTACAAGAGCATTATTCCACATCATATCCAGCACTCACAAATTATACTTCCTGTCATTCTGGGTGGCTTGTTTTGTTTTATTTTTTAACACACTTTGTATTAAGTAACTATTTTAATTAATTCTATTTGATGATTTCGAATTGGCCCTTAGTATTTCCTGATAGCCTATCTCCTGTTTTTCTAGTCTATTGACTCTCATGCTCTCCTGGATGTCTGCTTCCTGCCTTTCTTTCTACTCATACCTCTAAATCATTCCCATTCAGGTCTTGCTCCCTATTTCACTAAATGAAAATAGAAGCAGAAGAGCATTTCCAAGTTCTGGCCATCTCTTTTCCCCTTCCTCCCTGTACCTGATCTTGATCTGCTTCAATCCTATATGAATGAACTGACCATGAGTAAAGGTCATATGCAGAGTTCCCCTCCTTTGGCCTGCTCATAACATTGCTCCCTGCCACATCTTTCTCAGCAGCAGACAGACCTGCCACAATTGTATTACTCATCCTAATCTCTCAGGAACTCAACGACACACAGCCATCAGAGTCTCATAGGATGTACCCATTTCTCAGTACATAATACTCTTTATTATTGTAATCCATTCAATCTCATGGTTTGGGGAGCCATTCAAAAGCTGACTGTTGCTCAATTTAATCATTGGAGCTTAGTGTCCTGTCTTGCTTTCTGTTGCTGTAAACACCATGACTTAAAGCTATGTGAGGAGGAAAGGGTTTATTTTATGTTTACTACTTAAAAACCAGTTATGAAGGGAAGCAGGAACTAAAGCGGAAGCCACTGAGGAAGGCTACTTTCTAACTTACTTTGGCTTGTTCAGCCTGTTTTCTCATACTACCCAGGACCCAGGGGTGCCACTACCCACAGCCTCAGTGGGCTGAGTCCTCCCAAACCAATCACTAATCAGGTCCCTCATGCTTGACTATAGGCAGTATGATGAAAGCTGTCCCTCAGTTAAGGTTCCTTCTTCCGGAATGACTTTGGCTTGTGTCAAATTGACAAAAAAATGCTACCACATTTAGTTTCACAGGTGTTTAGGTTGAAATTCTGGTTCTACACAGCATAGAAAACTGTGTGAGCTTGGGCAAAGTACTTTACCTTTCCATGTCTCAGTGTTCTCGTGATGAAGGAATAAAAGAGACAAAAGTCAAAATATTTTAACCAAGAATAGTTGGTCCTTTTCAGGTTTCTGTTTAGATTCTTCAGTTTAGAGCCAAGACTTATTCTACCTTATCAACAAAGGGAAAAAATTAACTTTTAATTAAGTTACATTATTAAATTTTAACTATTAAATTACTTAGAAGTATATTTTAATGCTGGGTAGGGTAAAGGATGTCTATAGTTTTAATACTTAGGCGACTTAGACAAGAGGATGAGAGTTTGAGGTCATCCTGGGCTACACAGGGAGACCCTGTTCTAACTGAAACTAATCCCCACCCCAGTCCACAGCATTAACTTTTTAGAGGACTTGACAAGTGTGTACCGAGCCCTGGGTCTGATCCCTAGCACTATAAAAATAGCGGGTTTTTTACTAAAAGTATTCTGATACCATACAATTCATTGAATATTCTTAACCTGATGCAACCTGGCTTCTACCTGCTCAGCTTTGCTGGAATGATCTATGCATGGAAACTATTACTGATCCATGTGCTAATTTTGGTAGCCATTGTTCATTTTATAGTGTAAAGTTAGCCCTCTCACCTCTTGTACCTCTGTCAAAGCCCTCATCCCACCAAGAACGCCAATCTCTTATTGTTCCTCTACAGCCTTCAGCTATATCCAGACTTGGGCTTTACCCAAATCTTAAACCCCTGGGAATCTTTTCAAAGAGCATATTCTGCCTCAGTTAACTGGGGGTAGAAGCTCAAATCTCTTTAACAAATTTGTTGTACTTATTTTTCTCATTTTTATGAGTACAATTTGGTAATCTTGACAAGAAATGTTGAACTCTTAAATTGATTTCAGGAGTCACAATGGTTCTAACCCAAGATGGTAACTTATTAGGCTGAACTAGCTCTGTTTCTAATTCAGGATAGCAGGGTAAATTCACATCTGCCAGGAAAACCATTTCCTTACTACTGGATTACTCATTCTCATTAAAGTCCACTTAAACCAGACTTATACCCAGAAGAATTTCTCTCTGCACCTCAATATTTCACTCAGTTTACTGTTAGCATTCCTACACCATATTCACTAATTCACATGTGTATATAGGCACTTTATTTTCCTCTGTCTATGTATGTTTACATGTGTATTTTTGCTGTTCTAGAGAATTTGTGTTCTGTCATATTCTGTTTAGGTTTTGTTTGTTTTGTTTTAGTTTGTTTTGAAACAGGGTTTCATTAGTCCATACTGGCCTCAAACTCACCATGTATCCAAAAATGGCCTTGAACTCCTAATCTTTCTGCTTCTACCTACCAAGGGCCAACATTGCAGTCAGTCATGTACTACCACGCACAGTGCTGGGGCTTGGGAACCCAGGGTTTTGTGTCTGCCGGGCAAGTATTCTGACAAACTACATCCCTAGCCACTGTACTGTTTCTTTCCATTCCTTTCTTTGGCATTTCAATCAGTTATCTATCCACATATGATTTTATCAGGATACGGATGCTTAGTTCTGTCATAGCGTTTTCTTATATCTGTGTTTTGCTCTCCTGTCCCCATACCTCTATTTCTATACAGACCCCAGTTTTACAAAAGAAGAACAAATGTCAAAGGCCCAACAGTTCAGCAGAAGCTTTGAGGAAGGCTTGGGCTTTGAATATGTGATGTTCTATAATAAAGTGGAGAAGAGGACAGTTTGCTTGTTTCAAGCAGGTCTTCACTTGCAAGGGGTCCCTGGGTAAGAATTATCTTAGCATCATGGAGTCCAAAGAGTTTACTCTTTTTATAAATATTATTTAACATTGAATACACTGGACATATCCAAAGACTACAAAGACAACATTAAAATGGCAATATAGATATATATTTGTTAGTTGAGGAAGATGTTTATAACACGATAATGGATATTTTAACATAATATTGAATGATGCATATAATACATTATTATAGGACATAGAGCAACAGAGTATGATTGACATGTTTGCAGTGATTTGGCCAGGACTTGATGGTAGTATTAAAGGCCTTACTGTTTCTTCCTTCTATTTGTCTGTACTTCCTAAACTTTAAAGATTCCTTTTATTATTATTTTAAACTGCGTGCGTGCGTGCGTGCGTGCGTGCGTGCGTGCGTGCGTGCGTGCGTGCGTGCGTGCGTATGTCGGAGCCCAAAGAATCTGGAGGTGTCAGGTCCTCCCGGAGCTGGAGTTGCAGGTGGTTTGAGCCACCCAACATGGATGCTGGGAACTGAATTTGGGTGCTGTATATATACAAGCATAATGTTTCTTAATTAAATTTTAGCTTTTTCATGCTGTAATATGATTACTACTGAGCCCCAGTTTGATTACAAGTAACCCTTCTGCTGTGAACAAAGTTAAGGATATGGATATTATTTAACATTAAATATACTGAACATGAGGTAAATGTAAAAAGACACTTGAATAGTCTATATCTTGAGATGCTATTTCCTGAACTTCTGAAACTTTCTCTTCTGCTGCTGTTGTGACTAGGTATGTTCATGGAGGTGCCATTGCAACCATCGTTGATATCACGACTGGCATGTGTGCACTTGCTGAGGGAATTGCCATGACTGCCAACCTCAATATTGACTATAAAAAGTAAGCCTGTGATAATTCTCCTTATGTTCTTTTGTGTGTGGGGGGGGGGGGAGCCAATTTATGAAATTACATAAAGTTCATGGAGGGAGTGAAAACCACAGGCCAGAGTAACTCTACCGTGGCTGGGCCCAATACAGCTGGTGCTCAGCATCCCACACCCCACTTTTCCACCCTTCTGTGAGGGAGGCTTAAATAGGCCAAGCCCCAGCCTGGCCACCTGGGGGACAGAAGTCAGAGAAGTAGGGGTGCTGAAAGGCCTCCTCTGCTAAGATGTGCTGCTCAGGGTTACACTTCAATAGGTTGTACAACAGGTCTCTCCCTGTGGCATCGAGCTTGGGTACAATGTTCACTAAGGATGTCGTAGCTAGGTACATTGGGTAGGGCTTATAGCCTGGCGTCTTGGTCATGGCAGGCCATTGTCCCTAACAGTCGAAAAATCCTCTTCAGCTGGTCATCCACATCATTGCCAGGGAAGAGAGGCTGCCAAAATCAGCCAATTTCAACTCCCCATTCCTGTTTATGAGCAGGTTCTGGGTCTTTGGGTCCCTATGCAGCACATTGTGGCTGTGACAGAATCCCAGGCCTTTTAGCAGCTGGAAGAGGAATGACTTCACAATCTCAGGGTCCAGGTCACCATTGCAGCTGTCAAAATATTTCTTCAGGTCCTGGTTACAGAACTCATAAACCAATGTCAGCTTCTTGGCACTATGCAGGACATCATGAAGCCTGACGACATTTTTATTCTTCAGTTACTTGAGTAGACAGATCTCCAGGAGGGCTGAACTTGGCACACCCTCTTTGTCGTCATCCAGCCTGACATGCTTCAGGAGCCACAATCTCATGGTCTTGCCAGGTTTTGGCCTTGAACACAGTTCCATAGGTGCCTTCCCCAGTCTTCTCTAGTTTCTCATATTTCTGCATTGCAGTGGCCACGGGGTTCCTTGCGGACCCTCAGTTCTAAGATGTTTTCCTTATGTTCTTAAGTCAGATTCTCCAGCAGCAGACCCTGAGTCTATTACTGTCAAGGAGTGTGTCTATTACTGTCAAGGAGGTGCTCCCAAAGGACTAACAAGGGAGATGGAGAAGCAGGACAGTGAGGAAGCCACCAGGCTTGAACTCTCAAAGTTCTGCAAAGAGTAGTCTCTGCCAAACCACACAAAGAAATTCTGGGAAGTGAATTCATGCTTCAGAGTCATTCTTCCATCAGTAAGGAAGCTGGAATCTATGCCAGTTATAGGATGGGGACTGCCCTGGATTTCTGTGTTTGAGTAAAGCATTATCTAGGGAAATAATTCATTTTTATTTTTTATTAACTTGTATATATGTGAGAGAAGGGTATGTGCTATGTTGTATGTATATATAGGGTCAAAGGACAACCCCTACAGATCAGCTGTCTCCTTCTAACATGTGGGTCCCACATATTAAACACAGTCCATCAAGCTCAGCATCTCACTGGCCTAGGCAAATACATTTTTAAGTTATAAAAAGTATTCAGTAAGAACTAAATGGAGCCCATATATTTCCTACATGTCTTTAAAGAGAGAGAGAGAAAGATTTCTCATAACTTCACACAGAAATAGAGTGGAAATGAGTTTGATATTCATCAAAAGTATGATCTTTACCATCTTGCTAAAGCTTCTAGCAAGAAATAAAGAATGAACTGTATGGCAGAAAAAAAAAAATAAAAGAGTGTAAGAACAAAGGCTTCAAAATATAAAGTCTCCAAGGGAGACTCCACTTTATATATCACAAAGCCTGGATTACTTGAGTACTAGTTTTTGGAAGCCATGCTTCATAGAGTATAGGTCTATTATCTATAGACAATACTTAAGTGTATTGTACTAAGGCTATCCTACAGAAAAGTTTACACACACCTTTAATCCCAGTACTCAGGACTCAAAGGCAGAGGTCTCTGAGGTCAAGGCCAGTCTGGTCTACAGAGTGAGTTTCAGGACAGCTAGGACTACCCAGAGAAACTCTGTCTCACATCCCTCCCCCCACCAAAAAAAAGGAAGAAGGAAGGAGGAGGAAGGAGGAAGGAGGAGGAAGGGAAGCTCAAAACCATGGCCCAAGCTTTCTTTTCATTTTCCTGTTATACCTGCCTCGCCTGTGGTGTATGTGTATAACACTGCCACATGAAGATTATGAATGTGAAGCCTCAGTGTTTGGGAAATCACTCTATTGCTAGTCCACTGCAGTCATTTAGAGCAACGCTTTGCTCCTGCTCATTGTTGTTGTTCTTACTTTTATCATTATCATCATCATTATTGTTATTATTATTGGATTTTTGAGTCAGGGTTTCTCTGTGTAACAGTCCTGGCTATCCTAGAACTTAGGCTGGCTTCACACTCACAGAGATCCACCTGCCTCTGCCTCCTGAGTGCTGGGATTAAAGGTGTGTGCCACCAACGCCCAGCTCACTCAATTATTTCAATGAGATATTCAAGTATATGCAACATTTTTATTAACATGCCCACTACAGTTAGACCAATGGCAGATATACCAAGCTTAAATGCAAAGGAGAAGCAGAATTTCAGTCAGATTGACATGGATTCAGTGATACAGCACTGACTACACTCTGACCCTCAGGTGGCTCAGTAAGAGATGAGAACACTTCCTCTAGAACAGTGTTGGAACTACTGATGTATTCAGAGATGACCATTTAATATGTCGAATGGTGGCTTGGAATCGTTTTGAGAACAAGGAGGGTGGGGGGTAGATACTTTGAATCCAGAGAGAAAAGGAGTTGAGATATAAAAGAAATAGATCAAAGCTCAAATAAGAACCCCAGAGCAGTGGGGGGAAAAAATAGTTTAAAAATGGTGGGTAAGTATGTTCTGATCTAGCATGAAAGAACAACACAAATCCACATAAAATACAATAAATATCAGTCAGTATAAATGACTGTAATTCTAGAGAGGATATAGAGCTCTTAAAAGCATCAGACACAAAAGAGTATTCATAAGAGAGCTGTTTCAGAAGCAAGGGGGCGCCATTACCCTAGCAATAAACCTCCACAGCAGCAGAAGAGGCTCAGAGACCAGGCCAGCCTGGAACCATGCTCCCAACCTGCTGAAGGGCTGTCAGGGGGCAAAGTCAAGTTGTTTTCATTGAGCCAACAGTTGAGAACGGTTATAGAAAAATAGGGCAATGCCTATGTAATGTAGAGCAGACTGCCAGAGGAAGGAAAGCAATGACAGAATGATCATAGGCAGGATGATGGAAGAAGGCAGTGAGCAACTGACTGGCTCGTGTGCAAAACATGGCTGTCAACATCAAGGCTAATGTCCCCATCCTGGAGAACAGCAAGAAGCTGAAACACTCAAATAATGATAGAGTTGGGGAGAAGGCAAACAGAATTCCTTGTATTTTTTTCAGTAGGGAGGGGATTAAAATGAATGGTAATTAATACACAATTAATACAGTAGGAAAATATAAGTAAAGAGAAAAAAAACTCAGTTTTTAAGACAAAATAAGTTCCAAGAATGTGAATCAAATTGAAAGCAAAGTAAGATAGTGCCGAAGTAAATCAGTACACTGACCAAACCATCAGTCCAAAGACAGATTATAAGATTGAATTTAATGTAAAAAGCTGAGAAATGTGTGAAACATTTTAAAAAATGATAGGAAAAAAAGTTTGTTTTTGAGACAAAAATCTCTCTGTTGTAGCCCTGGATGGCCTAGAACACCATATATAGACCAGGCTGGCCTTGAACTCACAAAGATCCTCCAACCTTTGCCTTCTCAGGGCTAAGATCAAAGCTATGTGCCACCATGCCTAGCCTGACACAGAAAAGTTTTAAAGAAAGGAAAATGCATGAAAAAAAAGCCAACCAGAAGAAAAACAGATCAGCAAAAAAGCAGTTTGTACCCCCAAAAATTTAGTAGTAGGTACAGAGAGAACAGCTTCAAAATAATCAAGCTGGGCATGGCAAACATCTGTAATTCCAGAACTGCTCCATTAAAACAGGAGGCAGAGATACTTACCCAGCTGTGCACAGGCCAACTAGCCTGGAATAGATTCTACCTTAACAAGGCAGGAGGAGAGAAACAACTAAAGTTCTACTTTAGCAAAGCAAGAGGAGAGAAACAACTCTCAATTGTCCTCTGCCCTCCCTTACACATCTACACATGCTTACAAACTAGTAGATAAACAAATAAATAGAAGTTTTAAAGATTAAGAGCACTTACTGCTGTTGCCAAGGATCTGAGTTCACTTCTCAGCATCCACATGGCTACCTGTAATTCCAGGTCCCAGGGGATCTAGTGTCCTCTTGTGGTTCGTTGGGAAACTGCACTTACCTGCACATATTATCACACAGGTAAACACAATTTTAAGATCTGAAACAGAATTTTTTAAAAAGAAAAGGAGATGTTGAACAGGTAAGAACACCAGATGTCCCCAGGATGTTGGCAAATTTTGAATAGACACCAATAGAAGGGCATTCTTGGATCATGCCCATATGCAGGCAGGAGTGTGAGAGAAAAGAAGCAGGAGAGATTGTTGATGTCAGAGCCCTTAAGATGTGTTCCATCTAAGATAGTCAGCACTCACTAGCTTCTTAAGTCTGATGGTCTTTCAGTATTACATAGATTTAACAAAAAATTGTTTGTTTGTTTGTTTTTCTCCCTTCTGCAGACCTATACCCCTTTGTTCCGTTGTGGTGGTAAACTGCCAAATTAGTAAGACTGAAGGAAGGAAACTTTTTGTTTCCTGTAGTATTCAGAGTGTTGATGAGAAGACTTTACACACGGAGGCAACAGGTGAGAAATTCACTGTTTCTGGGGGGTTAGCCTAGGTTAGGATTACATTTGCTTTCATTTCATAACACACAAAACAAATGTTTTGAAGTTGGATTTTAGTTTGAGTGTTTGAGACAAGGTTTCATGCAGACAGGGGTGGCCTTGAAACTACTATGGATAACCCTGAACTCCTGACCCTCCTGCCTCTACTTGCTGAGTGCTAAAGTTACTGGCTTGAATCATCCTGCCACACCTGGCTTAGGTTGGTTGGGGTTTGGTTTTGGTTTTGTTGGGGGGCTGTCAGTGCTGGATCCAACCCTAAAACTTTGTACACATTGGGCAAGCATTCCTGTCACTGAGCTACATACCCAGACCCATGACTAAAGGCATTCTTACATATTGCTAGTGAAGGACCTGTTTGCCAATATCCATTATTGGAAGTGAGATAATATTTGATCCAATCCCAGAACTGTATTTCATAGGTAACATAGGAGGTTGCTGTGGTTCAAGTATTGGTGCATCCCTCACTTGCAATTGCAAAAGAATGAGCAAAGCATTGACTCACTTCAGTAGAAAACTGACAAAAGAACCATATTTCTTCTGTAATTTATGCCATAAAAATACTGTAGACAGTTTTAATGCCATAGGCAAAAGTGAGGAAAGTCTTTGATGTGAAGTGAGCTCATTAGCATATACAGGGTGAGAACTACAGAGGGCAAGTCAGAAATCTAAGATGTATCACTGGCTTAGAATGAAAAGCAGAAGTCCTTCCATTTCTTTCCTTTCCTCCCCTTCATCTGTACTTGCCTCCCTCCTCCCCATCCTCCCTGTATTTATTGTGAGAGTCATTATGTAGACTTAGATGTGATAAGCCCAGGAACATGGAGACCCACACACACACCAGGGAAGAGCAGCAGCAGTGGCCAGCAGTGTCAGAGACTAGACAGGATAAGGAGGGTATATGCACAAGGGAGTAGCCCACCACAGGATGCCAAAGCCCAAGGAAGATGTCCCTGGAGCATGGCAGCATGCTCATTCATGGGAGCATGCTCACTCAGACACAGTCACAGACATGTGTGTTTTCCCATTCTGTAGTTCTTTCGAATAGTGTAAGAACTTTTGAGAAATCATTTTATACACACTTTGCTAAGTTATTTTCTAATAGTCTAGAGAGAGATATACCATTGTAGCAATCTCACTATTTTTCTGTAAGCTTGAAATTATTTCAGAGTAAAAAATACAAAATTGGAGGAAAGGCAACTGTGTACAGATTTTTTGCATATGCATAAGCTAGGTCTTGAAAGGTGCATGGGTGACTGTTCTGGAAAGGAACTGGGTGGGCAGTTCACTGTAGACCCTTTGTGCATCCTGAAAGTGAAGACATGGGAAATGATTACCAAGGAGGGAGTTGAATTTTGTGAGTCCCAAAACTTAAAAGAAGCCCAATTTAAGAAAAAAAGGATTCAATAGTGGTTATAAACATGAAAACTTAGTTATGATAAGAAAAGAAAGCATAACTTATTTCTGCTGACTTAGAGATGCAACTTCCTGCTGAAATCTCTATAGGCAGCTTGCCATAAATCTCACCTAGAGATGTCTCCTGTATATACTTTGAGCAATGCATCCAACAGGGATTTTTCAGGCCAGAGCCCTGGAAGCCTCAGCTTCAGATGCAGATAGCTTACACAGCACTAGTTACATTTTAAATTTTTACTTAGTGTACCTCAGATGTACATGTTTATATTAATCACAGTTCTTGAGTTATGACATGAGCCTCACTGATATATAACTGTTTATCTACTAAATAATAAATAATAGCCTAAGGCCTACCACCAAATAGGAACCAGATTCTTTATCATATTTTATCTCTGCATAACTGCTATCCTCATCTTTCTTCCTGCTTAATGATAACTCTGATCTTGAATTTAGTAGTCTGTATTATTTTGTATCTTCTAGCTTTTATTTTTAAATTTTCCTTAAGAATGGTTGAGTATGTCAGGAGTAGGAGCACACACCTTTAGCCCCAGCAATCAGGTGACAGAGGCAGACAGATCTATGTAAGTTTGAGGCCAGTCTAAGTCTAAAGAGTGAGTTCCAAGACAGCCATAAAAAAAAAAAAAAAAAAAAAAAAAAAAAAAACCTGACTCGAAAAGAAAAGAAAGAAAAGAAAATGGTTGAGTGAAATGGTTCATGCCCATAATCCCTTTGATAGGGAGGCTGTGACCAGCATGAGCTATGATAATAAGACTCTCACTCAAAAAAGAAAAGAATAGCACACATCTAAGGGTATATTCTTCAGTTCATTTTTTTCACCCTGTAGGAAAGTATGACATGTGACTTTTTTCTGGGTTTGGTTTTCACTTAACTGCATGTTGCTGAGGTTCATTCACATTCTGGGCTGTGTGAGTCTCTTGTTTTTGCTTCCAAGTGATACTCCATGAGCCACCACACCACAGTGACTTTGCTTGCCTGATGATGGGTTCTGATTCTGCTGCTGCTCTGCCTATTCTTGCTTATGTCCTCTGCATGGCAGAAGCTTGGCATCTGCTTAGAAGCAGAGTTTCTGCTTGTGAGATGTGCTTGCACAGGAGCCCACCTTGAACTTCAAACACTGTCCCCAAATATATGGCATTCTTTTGATCCCTGTCTTCTCTAGCAATTGTCAGTCAGATTTCTAAATTTTTACCAATAAATGGGTTTTTAATAGAAATTTTTTAAGACAAAGTCTTACTATGTAGACCAGGCTGATCTCAAACTCACAAAGATCCACCTGCCTCTGCTTCCCAAATGCTAGGACTAAAGTTCTGTGTCACCATGCCTGGCTAAAATCGCATCTTGATGTCATTTAGATTTGCATTTCCCGGGTAACCTATAGAGTTGAATATCCCTTCATATGTTCACTGACCACATTTGTTTCCCATTCTGTGAAATTCTTGTTGGTTCATCTTTTCTTTCTTATTTTCAGTTAAGCCTTTGTTGGATAGGTAGAAACTCCATGCATCTTTTAGTGTGTAAGATGGTTTCATTTGCTTTAAAGCATCTCTTTATGGACAGGAGTTTTTAATGTTAATGTAGTCACATTTGGTCAATTTTTTTCCCTTTATGAGTAGTGCTTTTCATACCCTGTTTAAGAAATCCACTTTCCCCCTTAGCATCAGCTTCTTACAAGAACAATGGGTAAGGGAGCAGGAGGATGGCATTAATGGTCTGAATCCACAGTCAGTTTGCAGCTCCATGCCAAGGCTTTCTGTTTTGGATTGCTTCTGTCGCTATGATAAAAACACGCTGACAAAATGCAGTTTAGAGAAAGAAAAAGTTTATTTCAGCTTATATATACTTCAGGTCACTGTCCACCATTAAGGGAACTCAGGGCAAGAACTCAAGGCAGAAATTGTGGAGGGTCACTGCTTCAGTAAGCAGGCTCATACCTAGCTGCCTTTGACAACCTAGAACTGCCTGCTCCCACAGACCAATCTGATGTGGGCAGTCCCTCAAATGAGACACCCTTTTTCGGTACCAAGGCTGTCAGGTTGACAGTTAAAGCTTATTAGTGTGTTCACTAAACTTTCCATATCAGTTGACTCAGGTGTAACTGCACTTCTCATTTCCTAGGCTACCTCTCGATAGAAGTAGTAATGAATCATGAAGTAGTTGAGGACCTGGTAGAGGTGAGGGAAGGTAATGACTTTGACAGTCAAAAGTTGATTTATTTATTTTAGAGACAGGGTCTGGTTGCATAGAACTCACTATATAGACCAGACTGGCCTTGAACTCACAGAGATCCACCTGCCTCTGCCTCCCTCCCGTGTGCTGGTATTAAATGTGTGCACCACCACCCCCAGCCAAAAGTTGGTTCTTAAGTCTTCTGAGAAATGATAATAGAAAGATAGAGAGATACAAGAACTCCCTTTCTAGTGTCTTCCTGCTTGGTCTAATCAAATGGAAAACAGTTGACTTACTATCATCTACTATTTTGTTGGTTTAGCTTTATTTATAAAGCTGGATCCTGACAAGCGTTTGACATAAAAAGAACTTCTGCTGAATCCCACACTGTTCTGCATGAGGTTCTCCTCCAGAAGCATCACCGATCTCTACTCCTGTCCTAGCTGCTGAATCCCTGGGGGAAAGCCTGGCTCACGGACCCTTGAGAACAACCTCTGAAATACAGGGCTGCAGGAACTCACCATCCCCCTCTCAGACTTCATAAGAAGCACTTCCTGGGAGAGTCTCAGCATCATCTGTATCCCTAGGACAATATGTGGTCCTGAAATGTGAACAGACTCCAAAACTAACAAGCACAGCACTTGCTCCACCTAGATTGCAGGAAAAAAAGATTGTGTAGAAACTTACTGCAAGCATGGAGAAAACGGAGTGGTGTGTATGGCGTACACTCATGCTTAAGCACATACTATGTGTTACTAAGCTAGGTCTGTTATATGTGAACAAACCTCTTTCTGACCATATTAGGGAATACAGCTCATCCCTATAGGAATGGATCACACACATCTGTTGTCTGGTGTCCTAGAGATTAAACTGTTGTTCATTTTTTCCTCGGCCTGTGCTATTGTATCTTGTATCACTATAGTTTGTCATCACCAGAAGAAGACTTCGTTAGCTTTCTGGGACTATAATATAGAACTACAAACTAGGTGGTTTAAACCAACAAAACTTCAGTGTCATAGTCCCAGAGGCCAGTATTTATAAAATATTAATAAAGTCTTGCTCCTTCTGATGGTTCTGGGTGGGAACTGTTTACAACTGCCTCCTAGCTTCTATCAAGGAAGCCTCCAGCATTCTTGGTTTTTAGACATGGCATGATTTCCCATCGTATCTCTACATCATCTCTCTGTTGTCCTTCTATCCAAATTTCCCTTTGAAAAGGCCTCTCTCTCTCCCTCTCCCTCTTTCTCTCCCTCTCTCTCTCTCTATGGTGTGTGTTTGTGTGTGTGTGTGTGTGTGTGTGTGTGTGTGTGTGTTCAAGTGCTCAAATAAATTGAGAAATTAATGTGCTAGAAAACATTGCTTCTTGGTTTTGCTTTTATTTATTTGTATATGTATGTGTGGGGATATGTATTGCCATGAAAAGCATATGTGGAGAGGTCAGAGGACTGATATGTAGGTCTCAAGGATTGAACTGAGCTCATCAAAGTTAATAGCAAGCACACAACTCTCCAGTCATCTTTTGTTTGCTTTTGTTTGTGTTTTTGTTTTTGAGATGGGACCAGGAGCTTTCTAAGTCCATCAGGATGGCCTACAACTCACAGAGATCCACTTGCCTCTGCCTCCAAATGCATGGCTAAGGGTGCTTGTCACCACAGCAGGCTTAACCACCATATTTTGCTGCTGCTTTGTTTGCTTTAAAGATTTATTTTTGGCCAGGTGAGGTGATGCACATCTTTAATTCTACTAGTCAGGAGTCAGAAATCGATGGATCTCTGTAAGCTCCATGCCAGCATGGTCTATACAGTGAGGCCCTATCTTTAAAGATTTATCTGTATGTGTAAATGTGTCTAGATGTGTGAATGTGTACCATACATGTGGGTACGTGAAAAGGCCAGAAGAAGGTGTCAGACCCTCTAGGACTGGAAGTCAGGCTCAGGTCCTCCAGAAGAACCATGCTTCTCGTCATTGTCACACATTTCTCCAGCCTCCCATCTTTTCTTCTTTTTTAAAAATATTTTTTATTGCCTTGACCTCCCAAATCCTGGCCTCTGCCAAAGAATGAGGTCTCAGCTGGAGAGCGCCAGTTTCCAGTGAGATCCCACTATCCTGCAAAACCTTCTCAAGTTCAAGCTCAGCCCTTGCCCTCTTCCGCCAGCTATTGACCAGAGCTATTGGCCAGAGGACCACTGATGAGTACCTGCTGGCATCTTCTTCTGGATCCCCATCCCTGGATCTCTGTCTGCGGAGAAACCTCCTAGAGAGCTTGGACCACACAGAGCTACAGCTATTGAATCTCAGACCCACATAAGCCCAACGGGGAAGTACCATAGAAAGAGGGGGGAGACACCACTAACACCTCCTGGAAGAAGCTATGGGAAGAAGGCAATACAAGAGAACACCTAACAACAGAAAGACAAACATGACACCACCAGAATCTAGGGAATCTACACCAACTAGAATGGAACACAACAACAAAGCAGAGGAAGCAGAAGGGTACGACTTAAAAATTACCATCATAAAAATGATACAGGCCCTCAAAGGAGATGTGAGAAAATCCCTTAAAGAAATGGAGGAAAAAACAAATAAAAAATTCCTTAAGGAAAGTACAGAAAGCCAAGAAAAAGCAATTAACCAGGTGAAGGAAACGGTTCAAGACTTGAAAACTGAAATTGAGAAAATTAAAGGCAACACAAACGGAAGGAATGCTGTAAATTGAAAAGCTGGGCAGAAAATCGGCAACTACGGACACAAGCATAACCAATAGAATTCAAGAGATGGAAGAGAGAATCTCAGGCACAGAAGATAAACTAGAAGAAATAGATTCATCGACAAAAGAAAATCATAAATCCAACAAATCCTTAACACAAAACATCCAGGAAATGTGGGACACCATGAAAAGGCCAAACCTAAGAATAATAGGCATAGATGAAGGTGAGGAAGCCCAGCTCAAAGGTGCCAAAAACATATTCCACAAAATCATCGAGGAAAACTTTCCAACTCTGAAGAAGGACATGCCCATGAAAGTACAAGCATACCGAACCCCAAATAGGCTGGACCAAAGAAAAAAGACCCCTCGACATATAATAATCAAAACACCTAGCATACAGAATAAAGAGAGAATATTAAGAGCAGCGAAGGAAAAAGGACAGGTAACATATAAAGGCAGGCCTATCAAAATTACACCTGACTTCTCCATGGAAACCCTCAAGGCCAGAAGGTCCTGGATAGACGTTCTGAAAGTATTAAGAGAACACGGATGCCAGCCTAGGCTACTATATCCAGCAAAACTCTCAATCAATATAGATGGAGAGAACAAGATATTTAATGACAAAACCAGATTTTCCCAATATGTATCTACAAATCCAGCCCTGCAGAAAGTATTGAAAGGAAAACTCCAACCCAAGGAAGGTAACTATGCCCACAAAAATGTAGGCAACAGATAATCCAACTACACCAGAAACCAAGGGTGAAGCAGAACAAATATATTCACAATACCACTGCCAACAACAAACCTAAATCAAACAAGCATCAACAATCGATGGTCCTTACTCACCCTCAACATTAATGGTCTTAACTCACCTATAAAAAGACACAGGATAACAGAATGGATATGAAGACAGAATCCATCCTTCTGCTGCATACAAGAAACACATCTTAGCTTCAAAGATAAGACATTACCTCAGGGTAAAGGGTTGGGAAAAGATTTTCCAATCAAAAGGAAATAAGAAGCAAGCAGGCGTAGCTATCCTAATATCTAACAAGTTAGACTTCAAACCAAAATTAGTCAAAAGAGATGAAGACGGTCATTTCATGTTCATCTCAGGAGAAATCCATCAACACAAAGTCTCAGTTCTGAACATCTATGCCCCTAATACAAAATCACCCACATTCGTAAAAGAAACACTACTAAAACTCAAAGCTCATATAAAACCTCACACACTTATAGTGGGAGATTTCAATACACCACTCTCAACACTAGACAGAACCACAAATCAGAAACTCAACAAAGAAACAAAAGAATTACCAGAATTTATGTCTCAACTGGGGTTAACAGACATCTATAGAACATACCATCCAAAGACAAAAGAATATACCTTCTTCTCTGCTCCACATGGAACCTTCTCTAAAATCGACCACATACTAGGTGACATAACAAACCTCAACAGATACAAGAGAATAGGAATAGTCTCCTGTATCTTATCGGACCACCATGCTTTAAAATTGGAATTCAACAACAACACAAATAGCAGAAAACCTGCAAACTCATGGAAAATGAACAATGTGCAATTGCACCACTCCTGGGTCAAAGAAGAAATAAAGAAAGAAATTAAAGACTTTCTAATATTCAACGAGAATGAGGATACAACATACCCGAACTTATGGGACACCTTGAAAGCAGTGCTATGAGGGAAGTTCATTGCACTAAGTGCCCATATGAAGAAAACAGAGGATAGTCACATAAGAAAATTAACAGCCCAACTGAAAATCTTAGAACAGAGAGAAGCAAATTCACTCCACAGGAGTAGACGCCAGGAAGTAATCAACTTGAGGGCTGAAATCAACAAAATAGAAACCAGGAAAACAATACAAAAAAATCAATGCAACAAAGAGTTGGTTTTTTGAGAAAATCAACAGGATAGACAAACCTTTATCCAAATTAATGAAAAAGCAGAGACAGAACATGCAAATTAACGAAATCAGAAATGAAATGGGGAACATAACAACAGACACAGAGGAAATCCAGACAATTTTCAGGTCATACTTTGAAAATCTGTATTCCACAAAAATTGAAAACTCAAAGGAAATGGGCAAGTTTCTGTATAACTATCACTTACCAAAATTAAATCAAGAACAGACAAACAACTTAAATAGACCTATAACCCGCAATGAAATAGAAGCAGTCATCAAAAGCCTTCCAACAAAAAAAAGTCCAGGGCCAGATGGATTCAGCGCAGAATACTACCAGACATTTAAGGAAGAACTAATACCACTACTCCTCAAACTGTTCCACAAGATAGAAACAGAAGGTTCATTGCCAAACTCTTTTTATGAGGCCACAATAACTTTGGTACCCAAACCTCACAAAGACATAACTAAGAAAGAAAACTACAGACCAATATCCCTGATGAACATCGATGCAAAAATACTCAATAAAATACTGGCAAACGGAATTCAAGAATACATCAGAGAAATCATCCACCATGACCAAGTAGGCTTCATACCTGGAATGCAGGGATGGTTTAACATACGAAAATCTATCAACGTGATCCACCATATAAACAAACTGAAAAAGAAAAACCATATGATTATCTCCCTAGATGCGGAAAAAGCCTTCAACAAAATTCAACACCCTTTTATGATAAAGGTCTTGGAGAGGTCAGGGATAACAGGAACATACCTAAACATAATAAGAGCAATATACAGCAAACCGACTGCCAACATCAAACTGAATGGAGAGAAACTTAAGCCAATTCCTCTAAAATCAGGAACAAGACAAGGCTGTCCTCTCTCTCCATATCTCTTCAATATCGTACTAGAAGTTCTAGCTAATGCTATAAGACAACAAAAGGAGATCAAGGGGATCCAAATTGGAAAGGAAGAAGTCAAACTGTCTATATTTGCAGATGATATGATAGTTTACATAAGCAACCCAATAAACTCTACCAGGGAACTCCTACAGCTGATAAACACCTTCAGCAAACTAGCAGGATACAAGATACACTCAAAAAAATCAGTAGCACTACTTTTTTCAGACGACAAAGAGACAGAGAAAGAAATCAGAGAAACATCACCCATTACAATAGCCACAAGCAACATAAAATATCTTGGTGTAACGCTTCCCAAACAAGTAAAAGACCTATATAATAAGAACTTTGTGACTCTAAAG